TATCCAATAACTGACAGAAACATTCCAACTGATTGTTGGCCACCAACTGGGATCATTTGAGACTATGGTCATATTTGATGGATGGGTGGGGGATCTAGGTGGTGTATAACGATAGCGTCCATGCGAAATATTATTATATACCACCGTCCGGCGCTTCTATCGCAAAAAATTGCATGATGGAGATCAATATTTGATTCCGGATCAAGGCCGTTGATATCCAGGTGAGATATTGTGGTGCGAAATCAAATGAAAAAAGCCCTGAATAAGCAAAGTAGAATTTGATTTGCAAAACCAGTATTACGCACACGACTACTCGAACACCAGGAAAGTTCCAGTCGTTGGTGCTGTCAGAATTCGACATGATTTGCAACGCGATTTTGGGGGTGTTTTTGGCTGCAAGCTTGCAAAAATCGAGGAGTTCCTTATGAAATCCGGTGGTCGTCGACCTGACACAGGTTTAAGCGTGATGCGATCAAAACACTGGCAAGCACATACACACTTTCCTTCGCCGGCTGAGCTTGAGGCTCGAGGCATAATCGCCCTTTGATTACTCTTATAGTCCAAGTCCCATCCTGTGGCATAGCATCAAAGAACTCGGACAAGAAACGGTGACAGAGTAGGTCGAATATACCTCACCTTATCCATGGCCTGTACGCTTGAATCATTGTGCCATCATGTTCATACCAAAACGACAAACAAAGATATGGTAAGCATGGAGAGGATGAAAGTAGAATTTGATTCGCAGCGTGACGCAACTAGTATAACTTAGACACCAAGATCCTGATAGTCATTGATGATGTCGGCGACTTCTTTCCAGTGCGATATTTGAGGTATTTTCTATGAAACCATGTGACCATCAATTTAACACAGGTCTAAGAGCGATGTAAGTGCAACAAGCATCTGCGCTCTCTCTGCCTCAATGGTCAATTTCACAAGTCGGTCGATCACGTGCCCCCAGGTGCGAAGTTCATTCTGAACAGTGAACGTCTGTAAATAACAATCACTTTGTCTTCTTTTTTCGTGTTCCGCAGCTGTCCGAGCTTAGACACATACCTAGGACAGCCATAATATGACACGAAGGCTCTCAAGTGATTATCTGCTTGCCCTAGGAGCGACTGCGATGGATGTCAACAGGCGTATATAGGTATGCATGTCTGTATTTCATGTTTCGCAGTGCTCATCACATCCAAGCTGTTCAACGAACTGAACGATGCGTATAAAAGGAATGGCTCGAGTCTTGATTCGGTCTGCTCAGTCACCATTCTATAAGCACTGTATTATGTCGCCGTCGGCTCAGAGGCAGCATCCACAAGATTAGCCTTTTCGCGCTTGAGGACATCCGGGTCTAAGTTAGTGGTTGCTTTTTCTTGGCTCAGATGACTCGTACTCCTGCGTATCTTGCCCTGCTCCTTGACGGGAATTAATCAATCTGCATCTAGACCCGTTACTGACCTGAAGGGTACTCAGCTCCACTAACCGACCAGAATAGCTCGAAAGGTCCAAATGGCTCAGGTCAGATACGAGACCGGCCTCCGAGAAACGGCGTTTTGGTCTTGTCAGTTGGTCAAATTTAAACCGAAGCTTTCAAGTTTGGACATTTGAATTTGTATGTTGAAGTGCCACTGATACTCTCACACTTGGTATCCATGCGTGCCGACGGAGGAAGGTCCATTTGTTTCTGTAGCTCCGAACGAGTAGGAATGAAGTATTTGTCATGACATCACTCAAACGTGCATATTAATGTAGCTTGCAGCGTCCCATGGGTGATGTCATCGTGTGGGGTACAGACGGAGCGTGAATGTGTGCATTGTCGCTGATCGTGAACGTTTGAACGTTTTGCATAAAGTACACTGATAGAGTTACAAAGTTGATGATATAAAGTTATACATGAGTCGGGCTTCCGCATAGTCAACGAAGCGTGATGCAAGACAATGTTTTGTCGGGGCAGCTCAAAGAAAAGCTTTTTTTCATTCCATATATCACTTTGTCTGACTCTGCAACAACGTCAACTTAGTCCTGTGTTATGGCTCGTATGTATGTGATACTTACTCGAAGATAAAGTCGGGCATTCGCAGCACACTGTATGGGTACGGGCAATGTACTTGAACGTTTTTCGACCTCCTGTTTTTTCTTTGTCGCAGGAAGCATCGAGCTGGGTTCCCCATACTATAGTTCCGTAAGACACCGAATGACAGTACAGCTACCACAAGCACTTACACGGTCGAACATGTGCATTTCAAATTTGCTCATGACAGGAATGGTTCCACTATGCTTGACATCGGTATCAACAACAGTGCACGTGTCGTGCTCTTTCGAGGACGAGCCAGAACTGTGAGATGAGTGCTTGGAGCTCTTCTACATAACGTAGGCTCATCAGTCAAGTTGCTGGCCGCTCTGCAAGCGATGCCACTCACAGCACTAGCGCACCTGCGCGCCTGAGTCCCGAAAGTTGACATGAAGAGATAAGGTGACTTGGGATTTGTTACGAGTTCAGGATGTAACGCCCGTCTTTTGAGGGGTCCGTGCTGTGGGGAGCTGGTGCTGCTAGTACTTGCATCAGTAGTATATATACCCTGCAGTGGCTCGTCCTTGACGTTTTTTGACCCGGTTATGACAGCTTGCCATGGCGGAAAAAGCGGACGCTCTATCGACACGAACCCAAAAAGAATATGAGATTGGCGCCTTAAGCCCAAAGGCCTGCCTGCCACAATAGAACAGCCTGAAAAAACGTGTTGTGTGAGATATCCAACTATTTCGGATTTAGAATTTATATGGATAGATATGATGGCCATTAATATATATAAGAACACCGGTCCATCAAGGACTCAATACCAATGCCAGACTCGAACAATCACGGTTGTCTGAGAGGAATCTTGTTAGGGAAGTTGGTTGGAGTCAGCTGAGGTACTTTGCTAGCGAGTATATCACATACCAAGAGAAGGAGTATGCATGCATAGCAAACGATTTAACCTATTGATGACCGGAATAGGACGATGTTTATCAGGTAGGCCGGTTCGAGGAAGAGGTACGCAGCTGTGGCTGTGTACGAGTCGTGTGACATTTTAATCTCACCTCTTACGAGTATAGCGTTGCTTCTATCACGACACACCAATATTGCTTTAATTGTATAGCACTGGCACCAGGCAATTCCAATGCGTTCCGCTTAACTCGGGTTTGTGTTATCCAGATAGGCTTGAATTCGGGAATACATTCACATCTAATCATTGGATGACAACGTCACGCTGGTAAACTTGGTACGATAGACCTTCGTTTGATCTGAAGTGAGGTAGAGAGTCGATTCACCGCCACTTCGAATTGCGCTCCTGACTGGAACTCATTGCATACAATCCTGACGGTGTCACACTCGGTTGCGACGGCCATATCAATTGAGGGTACGGTTTGTTTTACAGAAGATCCTTATCCTCCGGAAACAAGTTCTTCTTTGCTATCCAAGAGCTAGAAGCAAGAGCGGATGCATGATATGAGATACCCTGCAGCACGCGCTCGTGCCTGTATAGCAAAACATCTCAACACGACATTCTAGGACAAACCTAACGCTCGGCAACATTGTTTCCGACCTTCCCGGGATCATCAGGACAGCCACCGAGCGCTTCCCCCTAATGCCCCGCGCTACTCACGCACGGAGAGAGCGGACAGCCGTCAAGCGCTTTTCTAATTTCGCATTCATCTACCACAGAGCGCAACACCATGGCCTTGATCAGGAAGCACGGCACTGAGAACTTTGAATTCGTCATTAACACGCTGCACGTTTGCGCCCCTTCTCTTTGACGGACGTCAGTTTGTGCCGGGTCCGGGTTGCGCAATAAATCACGCCATAGCGGCCTTCTCACTAGAATATCTGGCTAACGAAGGCGTAGCGCATAGCGCTGCTTATTGAATCGGCTGCTTGCGGAAATCTAACTCCCGAATTCGAACCTAAACCTTCTTGCTTTCAGCCTTTTCAATTGAGTTGTAGTTCACACAGATCATCAGAGAACCTATGAGTCTGTGATATTGTGGCCGCGGGAAGTATAGAAGGATGCAATTCTGCTCCTGCTGAATGACTATCTATACTACAGAAAATCCGAGTTGTTGGTACATAGCCATGAATGAATGCAAATCTCGATCACACTGAAGAGTCACTGACAGAATTGCGATGTTGCGACATCACAGCCATCAAGGGACCGTAGCATAAATGAGACATACATTCACGATAAGCATGTCGTACACACAAACTGTATGATAAATTCGTTGAAGTCGTAAACATGAGTATTGGGTCACGAATGCAGATACGGAACAAAAGTCGAAAGCATCGGAAACAGCATAAGCGTATCGATATACAACGGATGAAGACCAGCTCCTAAGAGACCTGCCTCATCGACATAGTAGATAAGAGTAGTATGGGGATACACGACAAAGTGGAGGCATCGGATACAAAAGTATCCACCATCGACACTTTGTGAATGTATGAGACATACACTCACGATAAGCATGTCGTACACACGAGCTGTATGGTAAAGTCGTAAAAGTCGTAAACATGAGATATGATATCAGATAGTAATGAAGATACGAAATAAAAGTCAAAAGCGTCAGAAACAGTACGAGCGTATCAATATACCACGGATAAAGACCAGCTCCTACGAGTCCTGCCTCATCAACGTAGTAGATAACGAGTAGTATGGGGAAACATGACAAAGTGGAAGGCATCGGATACAAGAGTATCAAAACACCATAATTCGAATGGCGAACAATAAAGACCACCTCCTAACATTAAAAGACCTGCCTCATTGACGTATGCGCTTCCAAACATGACAAAAACGAAGAGACAAGATAGAGGGTATTGCATCCAGCAAACCGTATGAGTACGCCATGGCTCAAATGGCGAAGAGTTGAAGACCAGCTCCTAGTAACAGGAGGCCTGCCTCATTGACATGCATGCCTCATGCGCAGCACAGCCAAAGCGCACGGACTATATTCAAGAAGCCTGCGCTGCTCTGATCCTAGGAGATACCGTACTAGAGGCGACGTCTCAATGAAATGTCTCCTTTATCAATTCATAACACTCACCCGTTCGAAGATGCGGGCTCGGTAAGAACCCTGGCCAGCAAATTTATTAGATACAGGAGGATGCGCAGTTGCGCGCGGCGCAGTAGCACTCAAGTCACCCCCCTGAGAGTGAATGAATTGATGAGCGTGAGCTCTTGCCAACACAGGGGGATGAAAGGTTTGTGAGACAGGCTCTTCGATGCGCTTTAGCGGAGGGTTGTCGTGGTGATGAGACTTTTTTGACTGTACGAGATGTTAGAAGACGACAGGCATAGGTTCACGGGGGAGACATACGCGAGCAGCCAAGTGTGCTTTGTATGCAAATGTGCTCATGATAGTAGGAAAGGGACGGTTTGTGAACGGATTTTGATTGAGCGTTGGTCTGACTATAGGGACGGGAAGATGAAGGGTGTCGTTAAAGTGAGTGGAACGGCCTCTGTCGTTGAAAGCCTGAGGAACACCCAATGATGGTATGGCTGATTATATTAGATAGTTGGCGCCTAAACATGACAGCCAGGGAAAGACTCCGCTGACTCACCCTGCGTGCACACTGCACAGTACTAGCTAGTAGTGGCGCGGGGCCGTACAAGGAATTCCCTGGAAAGCCTGAGCGTAGTTCCTGTGCTACATAGCAATTGACAGTTACCGACAAAGTTCCATGTAAAATGACATCACTGGACTCGACAAATGTGATATCTTATCGAGTTTGAGGCAGCTGGCTTGATACACAGCTACGCTCTCGTCGGAAAGAAATAGCCGATGAGCGTCTAAGTATCAAAACGTCATAGGTGGCTGCTACAGGAGGCCAAGTAATGGATTTCGATTAAGCAGCGCAGGTCCTGGAGGTGCGGATCACCTGGCACATTCCGCACAAGACAGAAGCGATCGGTTGCAGCCACACGGTGTAGTTGAACGTTGGCTACATGCATGCTATGTCATGCGTGGCTCATCAAGAGAAGCGGGTGGTTAAAGTTCCGTGAGCTTAGGGTGGAAGTTTGAAGCTCGAGGCCTGGAGGATGCATCGATGAACATGGAAGTTGGAGGCTGAGCTCGATCGACGTAGGACCGCCATAGAGTGACGACCCTCATAAGGGTCGTTCGAGCGCTTCGAATCTCTAAAAATAGCGGTGTGGAGGCGGCGATATACGTCAGGTTCCACTCGAACGTTGCTATCGCCGTTGTTGGTCTCGACGTTCTTGTAGTCCACCCTGGACGCGTCCTTCAGCGCAAAAAGCTGAGTGGTCCGGGAATCGAGTATTGAAAGGCTGCGTTGAGGACCTTGAATTATTTGTATTTCTTTGACTTGTGCCAAGATATGTTTCGAAAGCTCATCGCGAGTAATTCATTCGGTTACCCTGCCAGCTGCCAACCAGATTGCCGAACAATAAATAGTTCGGTTTAGTGCCGAGTAATTATAAGAAGAGCGTATTGACCACTAGTACTGAAGCATTTATGTAACATCCATTGTAGAGAATCCCGTTTTTAATGCCCATACTTAGTGCGTAGGCCCAAGCTTAACGGTCCCCGAGAACTCGAGTTGCCTCGTTACTTTGCCACGACCTTCACCATTAACTTTTTTTACTCTTCATTCTCATTGCCCACTGCTTTTTTTTTTTGATTTCTTGCCAATACAACCTACATGCGACTATTCCACCCTTCAGCTTTCGTCCTCGTCATCCTATCATCCCTCGTCAATGCCAGCGTCACAGTGTACCACCAAATCCCATTGGCAGCTTCAACCACCACTGCAGCTTCCGCAAATTATACCGGCGCTGCAGCTTATGATCCCACTGTACTAAATCCTCCCCCTGTTCCAGCAGGCCTCACAACACAATTCGGAATTCAGCTTTCCAGTTCTTCGCCATCTGGTCTCAGTATACCCCAGAAAGGTTCATTCATGGGTTTCTCTATCGAATTCAGTGTCATCAACCAGATTTGTCAGTCCAATCATGTCCTATCCAACAGTTATGCATACTAATCACAGTCGTTTGCAGTCGGTGTTAACGCGTAAGTCCTGATGAGGCCACTCGGTTCCACATATCTGAACTCATATGTCATAGCACGTATCTGCAGGTTCCCTTTTTAAACCTCATGGCCATCCTTCGCGAACGGGCAGGCGAGATACTCATTCGGGTGGGAGGTAATACTCAAGAGACTGCAGTCCTCGTGGATAGTCTCCCTGGAGGCGTAATGGTGTCCAAAGTCCGTGGTATTACGGGTGATGTGGTGAGTGCAATGTACATGATCATTGTCGATGACATCATATCCAATCACTTCTTTCTGAATACTTCAGACTTCCACCCCAATGCTTCTTTACACGGCAGAAGTGTTTTACACAATGGCAAACATCTCGGCCCTTGTAAATACGAAATGGTTTCTTGGTGAGGGCTCATGTAATTTCTTCCATGCCGTTAGTGACATTTGTACAGGCATACCGTTCAATGACACGAGCAACCTCCGACTTGGTATTGCAGAAGTCGGCGAAGCTGTGTTGAGTGGCCCTGGTTATTTGCTCGGGTTTCAAGTTGGAAACGAGGTATGTCCTCTTCGTATCTCCAACCAATCACCACTCATCACCGCAGCCCGATCTCTATGCAGCGTTCGTGATCGTGTTTTGTCTTTTATTCTAAAAATACCGACGGTTTCATCAGACACGATGCACGACCTTCCACATACTCGCCCTCTGACTACTTCGGCGAGTTTGGAACAGTAGTTAGCGCCATCAACAATGATGGCAATATCCCTGTTAAAAATAACTTGATTGTCCCATCTATCACAGGGCAATGGACTCCAGAATGTTCGGTTCTAGTTCTTTTTGCAGTTTAGACCAAAAACTAATCTAATATCATCAGCTGTGTGGAACACCGGACTCGTCGAAACCTATTCTTCAAGCTTGGGAGCGCTAGCAGTTGAACAGTAAGTCCTCTCTGTGATTTTCAGGCATGTTCTCAGGTTTTTAAAGTTACCCAACCGATAACTGCTACGCTTTGTACGGCATCGGTTCTCCGGTCAACCCACAAGACGTGTTTCAAAACTTCCTCACTCATAACTCTAGCATCTCCATCGTCGCCCCCTATCTCAACTCTACCAGCTATGCACAAGCCACTGGAAAGCCCTTCATTATGATGGAGACAAACACGGCATCCTGTGGTGGCTTACCAGGAATTAGTGATACCTTTGGCGCGACTCTATGGGCGCTTGATTATGGCCTTCAGATGGCTTATAGCAACTTCTCAAACGCAATGTTGCACGTTGGTGGACAAGATGTATACTACAACGTGAGTTACGTGCTCTGGGCCCTTTGCATATGTTACTGAGCTACGCACCATGTCCAGCCTTTCACTCGTAAGCTCTCTCCAATCTAAATCAGGTGAGAGAAAGCCACACTGACATTTCTATGTAGCACCTCCTACGAACCAGTCATCATATCACGAATGGACGATTGGCTCTGTATTCTACAGCACAATTGCTATCGCTGAAGCGTTCGGACCCTCTGGCAACGCACAAATTATTGATTTGCAGGCTAACACTGACAGTATGCTTACCCCTGCATACGCAATCTACGAGAATGGTACTCCCGTGCGCATGGTATTACTTAATTACGTATCGGATCCGAGCGGTGCAAGCGATTATACTGCAACGATTTCCATTGGCGGCTCGGCGATTGGGCAAGGCAACGCTACCCCTGCACAAATACAAGTCAAGTACGTGTTCCATATTCATGTAACACCCGCCAAACTAATTTATATCTTAGATATCTAGTAGCACCTTCCGTATCGGAGAAAAGCAACATTACGTGGGCAGGCCAGGTGCGTCTGGTCATCAACAGATATATTTTTTTCGTTTACTCATCTTTTTTAGACCTTTGGCGGGACCTTCCAGTCTGATGGCCGCCTAATGGGCTCCGAGAGCGTGCAGACGATTAACTGCGACCAGTCGTCCAATACATGTCGAGTGTCTATCCCCGCCCCTGGCGCCGCACTCGTCTTCCTCTCCTCCTCTGCATACGCAGAGTCAGGGAACCCTTCCACCCAGACATTCTCTACCACGATGGTCACGAAGACAATGAACACAGCGACGATAAACCCGAGTGTGCTGGCAACCTCGAATGGGATATCTGGAGATACATGGGAGCTTGGGAGTACGAGCAAGGAGAACGCTGGTACTGGTCTGAGGAATTCACTTTCGATCGTTTCTGTGGTCGGTGCAGCTGTGCTGAGCACCGGCATGCTATGCACGTGGTTCTGGTCATGATGTTCATGCTGACGAGTCAAAATGTTTGGTGGAACCACCGTAGATGCCCATCACGACGTTCATGATGAGGTTAAAAATTGAAATTCTTGGGACTTTATATTCGCATACTGCAATTACGACGGTAATGTTTGTATGTAGGAATACGGTGTATTAAACATGGACATTTAGGACATGATTGCTGCGACGAGAGACCGATTTCTCCCAGGTGAACAGACATGGGCCCGCGGATATGTAACAGCACGTGGAGGATCCCAATGGTGTGGTGCCATTTCCACTGCGGTCGCGGCGTCAGGCTGGGGACAAAATCCAAGCATCTGGTTACTAAGTACAGCAATGAATGAGCATGGAAATAGTGAGATGACTCAGAGGCGTGCTGAGGGTGAGTAGAAAATTAGAGACAAAGTACTTCCGACAAACTCGCATTGATGTCTCTTTTGACCTAGTATGAATCACAGCACATGAATAAAGTGCACACTGTGTTTCTTGTCTGGCTTATCGCGTATGTGGTTTACAAATCAAAATCATTACCCTCGGCGTACTTTCGGCTTCATATTATGAGACGACGGGTGATCGTTAAGATGAGAAGGCTACCTAAAATGGGCCTCATTGTGGCTGTTACGCCAGCTCGGCCAGGGAAGCCGAAAAGAGTGCCTTGACCGTCGTTTTTCGGGTTTGAAACCATACGTCTCGATGTAACTAAGTACATGATTTCATATACAATTTTGCAAGCTTGTGATGGAAATTCGTTGTCAACATCACCAACAACTGGAATTTTCCTGGTGTTCAACTGTAGCTGCATCATGATAATACCGGTTTGGAAATCAAAATCCACTTAGATCATCTAGGGCGTCTTTCGTTCGATTTTGTGCTTCGCCTGATCAAGGAGGATCAAATACTGATCTTCACCATGCGGATTTCGGTGACAGGAGGGCTGAACGGTGCTATATCTAGCACGAACGTTATCGTTGTACACCATCAACATTCCGCACTCGCTCATACTACCCATCCCTGAAATGTGACTGTGGTCTTAAATGGTCTCACTTGGTGGCCACTGATGAGTTCAAATATTTTTCTCAGCTATTGGACAGGTTTGTCACATCAAGAATCAAGATGTCTTGATCTAACATTGACCTATGCTTTCTCAGTTGCCGCCGCCGCCGCCGCCGTGGTATACGATTGGGGTGAGCAGGACAGTGTTCGAACACTACTGATATTCTCATGATATATCTAGTACTCACACTGGGACAAGAAGTAGGTCAATGTTCTCGCCGGAGCGGCAAACATGCTAAGAGAGTGGTCATAGATTGAACTGATCTGGGTGAGCCACAAAGTGCCTTATCAGAAGAAACATAGGAGAATGTGATGGATTCGCGACAGAGGCAGCGTTGGTCTCTCATGACTGTGCTATATTTGGTTGTTCGTACCTCATGTTGTGCTATAGCGTGGTGCTGACTCCCCAATTTTCTAGATACGCTATATCGCAATTATATATTCTGTGTACGTGTCGAGGTCAATAAATTGACACCATACTCATAACTCATCTCTGACAATCAGTACCGATCTGGGTATATCTCATATGCGCTTTATTCGATTCGTCTGACCGGCGGCGCACAGTATTTGTACCATTTTTCTCGCTGACAGACGCAGTGAGTAATCCGCAACCATGTCATTTCCATCCCATGAAGACACTCATTTGTAGGGGTGAGTGAAGCTCTAATAATTGAACTTGGCTCAACATAATGATTCAATAGGTGTGAGTGGGAGTTTTTGGTACTACGAGAGCATTCACTAATTGAGGGTTTCAGGCAATATTATGTCCTACGTACAGGATTGGATATATATGGTTGTAGCTCTCATGTTGGGTGGTGAGTTACCCGGTTTCAACACCTCTGTATCATTGACTCAACTGAAATATGATGCGAGTCATCACAATTTTTCGCTTATATGCCATGTATCAGGGAAGTAAAATGTTGTTGGTCTCCCTTGGTATTATCTTTCTGGCTGGTAGTATCGCCTGCGGAGTACTTGGGGCAATGGCATTCAAGAATTCTGTAGGGGGTGGGTTTTACTTGTTGACTTGAAAAACACAGCTCAATGAACAAACACCAGAGGAACAGACACTCTCTGGCACATATATGTGTTATCAAGAATCTGAAGGGAACGACTGGCTTCTGTATTCAATGCTTTGGATGGTCTACACTCTTTGGGAGGTCCTCGTACTGTGTCTTTCACTCTGGATTGCTGTGAAACACTTCCGTGACCTGGGACGACTCGGTCCAACGATAGGATCAACCATTGGGGACTGCTTTAGAGTGCTGATACAATCTCACGTGCTTTACTTTGCAAGGTGAGTTGGTAATGTGAATATAGCCAGCTTTCTGCTCAAGTTCTGAGCATGTCAGCTTTGCATGTGTCTCTTGCCTTCAGCTTATGATTCACACTCCAGATATTGCGGTGTGTCGACCCGTCGCCGACATCTGCGTGTAACCGCTACTCATAATTTCTATAGAAATCAGGTTTCACCGGAGTTCTGACACTCTATGATGCTCATCAAATTTTCATGGGCGTGCAGATGTTTGTGCTGGGGCCACGCCTCATTCTTAGCGTTCGAGAATATTACGCCAAACTCGTGGCCAACTCCGACGCAGAAACTAGCATGAATTCGATTGTCTTCCAGGAGCGTGTACAGATATCAACTAGCAGTACTGTGTAGGGACATACTTACCAGGTGGCGTTCATGAAGGACAATTTTGGTCGAGGATCCTTCGTGGTATTTGTTTACTACAAGTTTACTATATGGTATCTCGAAGTATATTTGACAGGTCTAGGCAAATTTATTTTTTGTTGTATTGCTACTGGGACGAAGATACATGGGAGCTTGGCAAGAACGCTGGTACTGACCTGAGGGATTCGCTTTCAATCGTTTCTGTGGTCGGTGCAGCTGTGCTAAGCACCGGCGTGCTATGCACGTGATTCTGGTCACGATGTTCATGCTGACGAGTCAAAATGTTTGGTGGAACCACCGTAGATGCCCCATCGATGACGACGTTCATGATGCGGTTGACAAGTGCCATTTCCATCGCGGTATTCCTCCGCAGCGTCAGTCTGGGGACAAAATACAGGTATTTGGTTACTATTTATGTTAGTCTCTTGATACCGAGCGGAAAGTACACAAACATCCTTTCAGGAGTTGCATCCAGAGATAGGAATCAGGAAAACCGGCTCGCGCAGCAGAAAAAGCTGGATTCTCGACTATGCCGCGGAGATTATTAGTACTATCGGTATACTTTGTAGAAACCGTGACTCGGAGGACGTCTTGCAGATCGGGATGATGGATGGTCGAGATTTTCAGAACGTTTAAAAGGCAGCACATGCTGCAGAGCTCACGCATGCAGGTTTGCAGTCCACGAGCACTATGTAGTTCAAATTTCTTGAGAAGATTTCGGCTCGGACACCAGTCGATGATCATGATAAGGCGTCCAAATAGGCGCAAATAAGTGGCGGCAAATCGAGAGCTAACCTTTTCCGAGTAAAGGTGAAACAAATTATGTTACCGTACATTTTGCTCTAGAATCATCACGCCATAGACTCGTGGCCTGGTCACGAGTCTAAGGGCCCGTTCAGCAACCGGTCGTTTCATTTATTTATGTGCGTTCCGTTTTGAAATGGATGCTCCCACGGGTGTCACACGCTGTCACACTTGTACGAACTACATCAGATAATCAATGATAACCATCAGTGTGCTGCTCGAGCTCTACAACCATGACCTCCTCATCATCACAGAAGAGAAAGGCCCTCAAAGCATCTCTGAAGGCCTCCCACACCTGCAGAAAGAGAGCTGCAGTACTAGCTGCTGCAGTAGCTGTAGCCACCTTACCCTATCTCGATAAGATTCCCCAGCATGATTCTATCTTGACAGGCCATTTGTGGGTCCGAGAGCTCCTATCAGGTCATCCCTGTCACTTCCATAATATGATGGGCCTTTCCAAGCCAGTATTTCACCAATTACTCCATGAACTTGGTGAATATGCAGGCCTTGCACATTCAAGATATATAAAGTGAATGCCCAACATTACTATTTAAAATGCAGCAGGATGAATTTATCACTGTGACTGTACTATTAGGATTTTTTTGCATCTTCTAGACATGGTAGTATCACCACAATTTTATCACTGCTATGTCAGCCCGCCACCCAATGATGTAGTCCCCCCCAAGATTCACGGCAATCCCAAGCTCTACCCATTTTTTCAACACTGTCAGGGTACAATTGATGGAACACACATCAATACCTTTGTTCCCAATGATGCCCTGACTACTCGCTACTGCAATTGGAAGGGCCGCCTCTCACAGAATGTCCTTGCTGCATGCACATTTGATATGCACTTTTCTTGCAGGATGGGAGGGAAGTGCAGCTGACAGCCGCATATATGATGATGCTCGATGGACTGACTTTCCCATCCCCCCAAATCTCTGCTACCTTGCTGATGCAGGGTTTCCATTATGTGACTCACTCCTGGTTCCATATTGTGGTGTACGCTATCACCTCAAGGAATGGGGTCGTTCGAGTCAAAGGTATGTTCTTCTTTCTGTTGATCAACTGTTCAAAAATGCTGAAAAATATCTAGACCAAAAAATCGCCAAGAGCTTTTCAACCTACATCATGCCCAAGCCCGAAATGTTATTGAACACATTTTTGGTGTGGTGAAGCGTCGATTCCGGCTAATGGTTGCTGCCCCAGAATACAGTCTTGTGGTACAGACAAAGCTGGTTCCTGCCCTCTGTGTCTTGCACAATTTCATCTGTGTCCATGATCCAGATGATGACAAGGAAGGAGATGAGGAGGCAGAGGTGGACACTAATCATCAGGTTGTACAGCAGAGGGTTGAGGATTTTGGTCATACAATCACACCAGCAGAAAGGGCAAGGGCAGGACAAAAAGAGACAATATAGCAGAAGTAATGTGGGCACAGTATATTGAGTATACTATGAACGAGAACTAGGAAAATCTATCTACATTTTTCCAAGTTCAAGATGAATGTACATAGAATGGAGAGGGACATCTGAAATAGCACTGTAGGCATCTGCAATAGCTACATCTTTGGTAAACAGAGCAACAACCTTGGCACGTTCATCAGAAGATAAGGAAGCATCTGTACAAACAGCCTGGATGACATTAATACATCATTTCGGAGTACTAGGAACATCATTGAGAAAACTAGTAGGAGCAGTGAATGATGTAGCAACAGACTCGAGAGCATCAGCTACTCCAAGAATTGCTGCTGGGCCAGTCAGCTTCACATTGGAACATTTCTTATGGATTCCTGTTGAAATTGGTGATTCCAAAGGAGCACGTGCATGTTTCAGAACACGCGGAGTGTGAGAAATGGGTGCAGACTGGTGCAAATATGAGTCAGACAATGAAGCAAGCAAGTTGATGTACATACCACTTTCTTGTCAGCTGATTCAGACTCATGATTCCCTCCAAGTGTATCCTCACCTTTGAAGATATCATCTTCATCATCAGGGAGAAGTGTACTTGGCCAAGGAGGGCTCGTCTCATACCCAAGACTATTAATATGCAGTGCCCCTTCACCAGTTGCATGACAACCATCCATGAGCATGATGATGTCATCGTAGAGGGGGAATGGTGTCGAACACCAAACCTTGGCTTCAGGATGTGCCTAAACAGCATTTTAGTCAACAAATATACAATGAATGAAGGCTTACCTCGATGTAATCATCCCACACTTTGTCACTGGCAATGACAATCTTCCTTGTCTCGTCCCATCTGAATCCAGACAGTTCTCTCAGTGTTTGGACAACAAGACAGTTGGCCTTCAACTGCAAACAATAAATCAGCATGAAAATGGACGTAAAATACTACTGACAGTGCTCCAACGATGTGAACAACTTTTTGCAGTTTTCAGAGCACCTCCACTGGTTTCATGGCTGTCTTTGAGGGCCTTCGTAGCATGTCACAACCCAATAACAAATTAACGCTGGGCAGAGACTAGGACTCAAATGAAAGTTATCACAACAAGAGGATATTGAGCAAGGACATCTTGGATTGCTACAATGTAGATACAAGAGGTTTGAACTAAAGAACTATTGACCAAGACATGCTACCTATATACAACTATTGAAACTGAGATTGAAACTGAGCTACAACTACTAGCCAATCATAAAAGAGAAAAGGGAATTGTACCATAGAACCTCGTAGAATATCAAGGAAGCATCACGTGACCATACCTTATCTTATCATATCTAATCTAATCTATTCACAATCAAAGAACTCGTCTTCTTCATCAGTCACATCGAAGACATGTGTTGTAGGCACTAAAGGTATTTCAGTATTGGTAGACACTTTCACGGTAGGGTTAGGGTTTGACTTAGGTGCTGTGTATTGGCGCTTAGGAAGATTTAGGAAAGAATAATGGTTTGTTAAAGGTACTTGTGACATTACCCCCTCTCTAAGGTGAGTGTCATCACGAACGAATGAGGGTCGGATATTCTTTTCTCTCCATCATTTGAAATCTTCCGTAAAAAGCACTGAGCCTTTGATTCTTCAGTATTTTCCAGCTGCAGCCATGGGATTCTTCTTATGGAACTCCACTAAAGGAATTGGAGCATTTTTCAAGTTTTCTTCCGGCTCCCAAGATGACTCTTCCTTCGGGTATCCTTCCCATTTTACTAGGTACTGCAGTTTTCCTCAGAACAATTGGCTATCTAGTACTTCTTCTACAGCAAATTCTTCCTGATTGTCAATCAATTCTGGAGGTGGTTGGTTTGGAGGAGGATGAGGAATCAATCGAGATGCGTGATGTGGGGTAAGCAATTCTACATGGAAAACCAGGTGAATCTGATATTTTTCCGGCAATTTCAACTTGTAGTTCACTTCGCCAATTCTCTCTAGTATTTCAAAGGGACCTAGACGACGATCTGACAGTTTTTGACTTGGACGATGTTGTTTGAGATTCTTTGCGTCAAGCCAGACCTTGTCGCCTATCTTATACTGAGGTGCTTCTTTTACTCCTTTGTCATAGAATCACTTCATGCACTCATTGACCATCTTTAGAGTATTTTCCGCATCATCTCTTGCTTCTTTCATCTGATCAACTCTCTCATTGGCGGCGGGAATTACGGACATAGAGTTTGGATGAATCGTGAAATCTGGGTTATACCCATTGTTACAAGAACATCTAGACACTTGGGCCCCTACCATTTTTCTCCTAATCCTCCTCGTATCAGCCCTTGCATCATACCCTTACCCCGACCTTACCCTGGTCATCCTTGTCATCCTTGCATTCCCCTTCGCTCTCTATCTGTCGCTTCAGCAGAGCCAGTACATCTGGCTGGATCCTTTTGCTGACGAAGCATACCCATGCTCTGTTCCACCACCTGACTGATCCTGTGGACAGTCCCCTTGCCCTTACCATCTGGACGGTAACCTATGATATTATGCACGATGCATCCCCTTTGCCCTTTTCCCTTTCTCAATCTCTGACTCAGTGCGCAGTCGCACATGTTACTTATACTTAGCTCCGCAGCTGCACGATCGTGCCCCTGCACGTTTCACTTCTTGTTTTGACCTTTGACTCACTTTCTTATCAAGCACATTCTGGTTCACCCGTGTCTCACCCCGAACGTGCCTTCCTTTTATGGTTATGCCCTTTATCGTTTACTTCACTTGGTAGTACGAGTTATCACCCACTAATACGCCTCCTGTCCTCTATATAAACTCGCTACCATGTACCATATTCCCTAACTTGAATCTACTTGGTTCTTGACCTCCTACTCTCACCAGAGTGATCCTTTCTGCCTAGCCAGCAGTCTATATTCTATCTTCTTATCTGCTCATTGCAGATAAGCCTATAGTCTCGATCTTTACTCATCGACTTCAGTCGATGAGCAAAGCCCCTGTTAACTAGTCGGACTTCCGTCCTTCTAATTAATGACGATCTTACGATTAACCTTCGGGTGTCATAAGCCTTGGCAGATACAGCTCATCATCTAGCAGCCGCTTGACGTAAGCTACCCGATTTGGACATAGGCGTCAAATCTTACTTGCCGAAGCCTCGCCAAGTAAGACCCCTAACCTTGGGCTAGCCCAAGGATGTCCTTGACCGTTGACGACACACGCTCTGTTTGAGCGTCGCCAACAGATACCATCCAAGTTGTAACACCCATAGAGGACTTTGAACGGACTGTGACCAGTTACTGTGACTGCATTATTATGTGAAAATTCTGCTATCGGCAGCTAAGATACCCAATCATTTTGTCTATATGACGTGAACATGCACAAATATTGTTTGACTTCTTGATTTACGTTTTCAGTCTGTCCATTGGTTCTGGGATGATAAGAGGTCGACGCAGACCATTTTGTTCCTAATCTTTTTGACATTTGTCCCATAAACTTCGATATGAACTGAGTTCCTCTATCTGAAATCACTTCCTTTGGTGTTCCATGATGTTTCCATACATTTTTCAGAAATAGCTCGGCAATACCCTTTGAGTCTACATCCTTAGTGGTGGGAATGAAGTGTGCTTGTTTCAAAAATTGATCAACAACTACAAAAATGCTGTCACACCCTTCACTCTTCGGCAGGTCTACTATCAGGTCACAGGTGATTGTTTGCCAAGGTCCTTCTGGAACTTCATTTGGCTGTAAAGGCCCCGTTGGTTTACTCGGAAGCACTTTCATTTGTTTGCACCTATCGCAACTGTCTACGTAATTGTGGACATACTTCGTCATTGAAGGCCACCAATAATTTCTGGAAATCAATTCTAAGGTCTTAGTTCATCCAGGATGTCCAGCCGGTGGAGAGTTGTGAAACAACTCTAATATCTCTCGGCGGATCTCCTTGTCATTTGGAACATAGACTAATCCTCGGAATAACACCAATCCATCCTCCACATTCCACTCTTTGATTCCTCTATGCAACTGAACCGGTGCTGCTTTTAGCGTTTCCTAGTGCTTTAACAACTTCAGGTTCTTGTTCTGTGCATTTTCGTATTTTTTGGAGTAAATGTTTCTTTCCATGCACCAAAACTGGGCC